ATACTGTGCATACTGGAGCTGTGGAACTCCTTGTGTCAGGATGTTGTAGGTGCTGAAAGTTTCAGAAAATTAAAGCAAAAATTGTGGAAGTGAAATCCATCTGTGAATATTAAACACCAAAGACCCACTCTATTCTGACTCAGGAATTTTCCAAACTGTGTGTGCATTACTGGAGACATGCTGCTACATGCTTTTCTATTTCTCATCTTCTTCTCTAGACATTCTTCTCCTGCCTGTTGCCAGAAGCAGAATATCGAGCTAAATGGCCTTTAGATTTGAAGTTATGTGGCTGCTCTTACATGTCTATGTTATCCTAAATTTGACACATTTTAGGAAATAAGCTATGTATGAAGTAGGTTTACACTTAGGTCCAGTAGTTTTTACTGTGGCTTTACTTAGCTCTAAAATTTGCCTCTGGCTCATCAGAGATAACTGCAACCCTAGGCTGTGGTGTGTTTAATTCTTGCAGTGGAAGTGTTGCAGTATTGCCAGCAGTGGAAGTCAGGTCTAAAGTTGGGAGGCAAGTGCCATGTTGTGTGGATGTCACAGATAGGCAGGTCAGGCCCTCATCCAGTGCTGTTTCGTTGATTGATTGGGGTGGAGGAAGAAATGGGAAGAAGAGGTTCAGTCAGCATCTAGGATCCTTCTGAGTTCTCTCTGAGATGATCAGTTGAGAATGTTTATGGAGGCTTCTGTGCAGTGGATGGTGATCTAAGACCATGCACTTAATGCCCGTGCAAGGGGCTGGCAGCCTCTAGGACGGAGAAACCCATATGGTTGGGAGGTTGTGGCCTTTCTAGATGGAAATTTGGATTGGTTAAGCAGGCTCACTCCAGTTTCCACCTTGCCCACTGCTTGGCACACTCAGTTGCTCACTTTATAGCACAAAAGTCATGGGGGTGAGTTCAGGGCTTTGTCTCACTGCATGGCTGTGCTGCTGTCAGGATGGAGCCAGCTCCCCAGCTTTTCCTCTGCAGGAATCTTGCCATTTACATGCTGCAGAAATAACTCCTGTGAATTTAATTAATCACAGTTTACATGGTAATAACCCTTGGAATATTTTTTATGGGTAAATAATGTGTATCCCCTGCTGGAGTGGGGGTTCTGCAGGTTCCAACATTCAATTATTTCATAATCTACTTCCCATTAAATGATCAGAGAGCGAGACCAGAGGAAACTAACAGCAGTGGGAATAATTAGCAGCTGCCTTGTGTTTGGGGCATGGACGTACTCTCTTAATGCTCATTAAAAAGCCCTTACAGTTAAGGAGGATGCAGGGGGTTTTGGTGCTGCCAAGCAAGTGCCACAGAGTTTCTGGTTGGCAACGTGGTGCTATGCATAGGGACCTGGCTAGTTCTTACTCACAAGGAGCCTTATTCCCAGAGGAGCTCCATGCAGTGACGCTGCTCAGCCCCTGGTACCTGCCCGAGCCCAGCCCCTTTCCTCGCTGCGTCTGCTGCGACCTGTGTGGGAGGAGGCTGCGAATGCCGGCTGGCAAGACTGTTCAGTGTCTTCTATCAGGCAGGCTCAGAGCAGCTTCAGACCGTCCCAAATCTATCAGTTTCTTGTGAGATAGTGAGAAGTGTCGTTGTCACCAGCGCCTCTGACTGAAGAGAAGGTGAGCAGGCTTGCCCAGGGCTGCACAGTGTGTTTGCAGCAGAGCAGAGTCGGGCGGAGTCAGGACCTCGAGTCTGCTGCTGGGAGGGACCAGTCCCATGCTCTGCTGCAGCTGGGCAGGCCCTTCTGCTGAACAGTGGTCCAGAGCCATCCTGCCAGCAGAGCAGGCCTGGTTGATGGCTTCTGGAGAGGTGACATGCCAGCCAGGCTGGCAGCCTCACAATCACAGCACATGGGGAGAGAGCTACACTCAAGTGAGTGGTGTCTTGCTGGGAAGTGCTTGCTCAGAAGCCCACTGCTCTTCCTGCACTGTGATTATCCTAAGCACCGGTGTATTTTTTCAGTTTATGTTTCCTCTTTCTTCCTTGCCTTTGCTTTTATTTAATGTTGTATTCTTTGTTGTAATTACTACTTTAATCTGTAATGTTGCCGCCTGCCCCAGCTTCTGGCCACCTTTGAGGCCAGTGCTGGTAACAAGTCGGGGTGCCTCTCAACAGCAAGGTTCCTGCTGAAATAGCTCCCTAAATAAATAAAAGGCAAATTGAATATTGGAAAAGAACTTTAAATAACCTCTGAATTCCTAGGGAACTGCATCTTACATCTCTGTTAGGGACAAATGGGTTCAACATAAGTAATGATCCTCTGGAATGACAAATAAACATCATTCATCAGCCTCTGTGGACTGGAATGAGAATAGACTTTGGTGATAAATAAAAGCAAAGTGCAAAGATGTCCCTGGGTGGCAGATGAGAGCAAAGGAATTAAATATCATTGGACTATAAACACACAATTTCTGAAATGCTCCACAGCTTGCCTCCAGATAGCTGCTTTGGTTATGATGGGTCTAACTTTTTCCTCTCGTGCCATGGGAAGAAGCTAAAGGCCCTTTACTGCAACAGCATTCCTGGCACACCATGACCTCCGCAGATGGAGTAGCACCTTTCAAATGCAGCCTCACTGTGCTGAATTCTAGCTCTTTAATGAAATGTACCTAGTTGAAATTCTCTCAATTACTTTCTGGTTTTTTGCCGTACTGATGTAACACTAAAACCCTCCTTGTTCCCACTTCAGGTGACCCATTGATGTTTGTATTTTGATTGCTATCTCCCTGCTGTTTGATACTCGCCCCTTTTCCACAACTGCTTCAGGAGTTTATGACTGGACAAGCCTCTTTTGGTTCTCGGAAACATATTCCTGTCACTGGGTGGACCAACTGCTTTGTCTCTGGATGCTTTGCTTCCTGAGCTACAAAGTTCTCTACCTCAATAGGACAGTGCCAGTGTTTTGATTTTGTGACTGTGGTCGAGCCGGGAGCTCACTGTGGTGTGAGTGTGATGGGTGTGCCCCTGGGGAGTCCCTGTGCGTGTCCTGTCCACTGCGTTGGGATGTGAAGGAGGGAGTATGGGTTTGCTACCCTTAATGTCTGTCCAGCTGTTTGCTCCCCTAGATGTACGCAGTGGGTGTAGCTGCTGCCACTGCTACTCTGCTCTTCTGTCTCCCTTTGCATCTCCTGAGCGCATGTTTGTCCTGAAAGACAGACTGATTCTTCTTCCTTGAGCCTCAGCTGAAGACGAGTTCTTTTTGTGTCACAGAAAAGGCCCTTCCTTTTGAGAAGCTCTTTATCTTTGTTAAAATGAGGTTCTTGATGCACCTGTTCATGCAAAGCAGCCCCTCATTCCCCACGCAGGCTGTGCTCGGCTCCTGAGGAGGGCAGCATAGGTTAGCTGATGCTCCTTGCCCGGAGTTCTGCTTTACATTCCAGCCGTATCTAAGGCAGAGCTAGTGAAATGTAAAAGAGCACTGAAGGAATTGATAGTAAAACTCTTGGCTCTGTGATGAGTAGAGTAATCCCTACTCTTATTCCTACAGGAGAACTTGCCTCTCAGCAGCAGTTGTGCCGAGAGCACCGCCACTGCCACTGTCTGGGGAAGAGCAGGTGTAGGAAACCCCAGCGCCACCCTCCCTTTAAAAGACTGACTCTACATATTGGATGCACTTTGTGACTCCAGCATTGTAAACAGGTTGTTGTTACCTGTTGAGCACTGTTGCTGAACTCGGCCCTGTGGAATGTGCACAAAATAATAGAATGAAAACACAGATCCCTTACACCAAGGAGCTTCCACGATGGTGGGGTATGAAGTACATTTTTCACTAAGAGGAAGACACTGGGAAATGTAAGGTTCGAATCCTGGGACTGCAGAGCCTGACTGTCTTACAGGTGATGAATGAACAGCTTTTTCGTTGAAGCAGAAAACAGGATGGGCTTAAGCACACAAGAAGCCTGGAAAATCACATGGAAATAATTGTGACATCCAAATTAATACCAGATGAACTAATCAGAATTAATGTTAGTAGGAGTGATGCTGCTGGTTATCACAATGATTGGACTATTATAATAATGAGTTTTCTGGGGAGGATGATGACGGATGATTTATATACTGTACAGGTATTTCTTCTGTTTATCCGCATGATAAGCAACTCTGGTACTTTGCTGCAAGAAGTTGGGACTGCTCCTTATTCCTAAAGTTGCCCAGAATGTAACTCTCTTCTAAGTAGTTAGTTGGCCAAAAAGATCCTGGACAGAAAAGAAGGGAGGGCTGAGTAGACAAAAAGGGTACTGATGTCTCATTCCTGACCTGCTTGAGGAGAGCTGTTGGGAACCTAGCCCTGAGATGTTTTCTGGCCTCTCTGGGAAAAATAAGGAGAAGTCTGTCTGGGGGTATGATGCAGGGGCAGTTTTACAAGCACCACTCAGGCGCAGTAAGGTGGTGAAGGTCTCACTGCTGCTCTATCACAAGCTCTGCTTTTCTGCTCTACAAGCTGCTGTTTTCTTTGATTTTCAGAAGAAATATATCCAGTGGGATATCTGGTGGTACACACAACGTGCATGTGTATGTGTACAGTGTTTGGCTACAGAAAGCAGTGGTCTAACAGTGCTAGGAGTCACTGCATGCGTAATACTGATTGCACAGCAAAATGAAAAGCCTCGGGTAGTAACAAAAGGTAGCTGCAGTTTTCCATGCATGGCATTTCATCCTTCTCCATTTTCTCTGTGACTTTGCTGAGCACTGGCTGTAGTTGTTGCTGTCTAGGATGCACAGTCACTTCTCCATAGATTTTCCACCATCTCTGTAGGCTGGCAAGAAATAAGGAGTTATGGTGATCTTATGCAGAAGATATGTGTTGTCAAAGTGTTTAGAAGAAGTTTCTTTTTCTCTGGAACTGAAATCAAGGGCAGGGAAGCTGCCTAATAACTTCTTGAGGATGACGAAATGATGCGGCATTTGAAGCTCTCATGGTAGATATTGAGCTCTTTCATTGATTTGTTGACAGAGTGACCAGGGCAGCAACAGCAGAAATCTTTTCTCTCCTCTCTCCTTTAGAGTTCAGGGTTACCTGGATCATTTCCACCCCTTTTGGACTTCAGAAGCTGTGTGGGTACCTACATCCCATCTGTAGCCTCGTGAGTTAAATACACAACTTTCTACCTTTGATGCCCACCTTGGGGGAGGTAACACAATATCATCATTATTCTCAGTTTTATAATCACCTTTAAAAATTAAGTCAAATGTTTAGTAATAAAAATAATGATATTCAATGTAAGCCTGAAAAGAATGAAAATAATTTCAGAGCATTTTTAACACTGAATTTTCATTGTGGGTATTTCAGCTGCTTCCCTCTTGGCGAGGCTTGTTCATTTGTTTTCCTCCTGCTGTGTGCTTTAAACAGTAAGACCTGGGCTGCTACTAAGTGGGAGAGTGCCACAGGTGCTGAGCAAGCCTTGTTCATCCCACTTCCTGTAGATTAAGTCTGAATAGAAAGCCAGGATTGACACTGGAAATGTCAGGCACATAGAGCCAGGGTTAATGTGTTACTGGTGTTATGCCAGAGAACACGATTGCACACTGTTGTATTGGGTTTGCATGTCCAGATTTTGGTAGCAGGGCGTGGCTACAGGGGTAACTTCTGTGAGAAGCTGCCAGAAGCTTCCCCCGTGCCCAGTGGAGGCAATGCCAGCTGTCTCTAGGATGGACCCGCTGCTCGCCAAGGCCAAGCCCAGCAGTGATGTCTCCAACGCCTCTGGGATAACATATTTAAGAAAGAAAAAAGTTAGTGCTCGGAGAAAATTGCAGGCAGAGAAGAGTGGAGTGAGAATATGTGAGAGGAACAGCTCTGCAAACACCCAGGGCAGTGCAGAAGGAGGGGCAGGAGCTGCTCCAGGTGCTGGAGCAGAGATTCCCCTGGGATTCCTTGGTGAAGCCCATGGTGAGGCAACTCTGCCCCTGCAACCCATGGAGGGCCACAGGGGTGCAGAGATCCACCTGCAGCCCCAGGGAGGAGCCCACGCCCGAGCAGGGTGATACCTGAAGGAGGCTGTGACCCCATGGGAAGCCTGTGACACAGGGCACAAATAAAATTACTCAGAGCCCTAGGTGCAGGAGTTGCCTGAAACATGCCATATGGCTGAGTTCAGGGTCAAACTTCAAGAGCAGATTGTCAGAATGTGGCATCTGGAGACCCCAGTGCCCAATTTCCCAGAGCTGTTCTCAGTGTAGAGACTAGCACACACATCACATCACCCTCCTGCTCTTGGAGCCCTTGCCCACAGCACAGTCAGTGCCTCACTCTGGAATGTCACCTTACACTCTTTCAGACATTTACCAACAGGGAATTTCCAGTCTTGATGTGGACTGGTTGCCTTCCTCTTCTGCTAGCTGTAGACTTACAATGAGACATTCACATTTTAAATATGGTGCAGTGACATCAATAGTAATAATTATTGCATGCATCAAAGCTTTGGAGATTAGCCATGGATCATGCACCTAAATGGCAAATGGTTATAATAGCTCCGTACGTGAAACATCAAAGTCTGAGGAAACATTGCTCTGTTATAAAAAATACATCAGAATGATCATTCCACTCCAAGCAAAATGCAGAACTGTAGACGTGCATGGAACAAATGCAACACATTTCATACTCATTTGGGTGTTTCAAGTATGGGAAAAATTGATTCCACAGCTCCAATTACCAATCCACATCAAGTGAAGACTGTATTGAAATGACGAGATTTTGAACAATATTAGGCTTAAGTTGACTCCTCCTTGTGAAAATGTATTTGTAATTAGGGTCTAGAAAAGCAATAAGAAGTATTTGGGGTTTTAATTTTTTATATGCTCCCTGACGGAGAGAGAAGTGGCTGAGATTGCATAAAATTCTTAAACCCATGATGTTTCAAGTATCCTTTTGCTGAATTGAAATGGGTCTCTCATAGATTAAAGGAACTGCACTGTTGTTTTCTTTGCTAGGAGAAAAGTATTCCAAGCAGAGCGAAGCACAGGCTCTCTCTGCTGAGCCTGGGGACAGCTACTGAAATAAAAAAATCCAGAACAGTTACTAGAATAACAGAACCTTTGAACTCAGCAACTGAAATTCCCAATTACAGATGTGCTGCTGTTTCTCCTGCCTCATCACAGCTGTTTTGCTTGATCACTCCTCCAGCCCCAGTGGGAGGAGCAGTGTGAGGATGTGATGCCACATGTGCTCCGACAGCCAAATCAAAGGCCCAGCCAAGCTTGTGTCTCAGCCATGAATCTGGAAGAAATCAGAGATCCTCATTAAAGTTTCAGAAAAACCTAACTGGTATGAGGACAGCATTCAAAAATGTATTTGGGGGAAAACAAATATTGTTTTAACTCTATTAATAATTGATGTGTTGCCAACAGAGATCCTCCTAGCATTAAGGGAATTGAAAATTAAAGGCACAAAGACACTACTTTAAGAAAACATCTTGATAAATAATTAATATGGCATAGGCCTACTGGAATATGAAGACTGTAGGTTTTAGCTTGTCTTGTCAAACCTATGCTTTCTAATACCACAGTTTCTTTCAGAATGAGAGCATGGTCATTTTTGGTTTAAATCAACAAAAGCTTGAGTTGTTTATGTTGCTTAACTGGAATAATTCACTGGCTTCTGTCAGTGGCTTGTGCTGAGCCCTTGGGATCCTAGAGCAGCACATACTCAAAGGGCATGTCTTTCTTAAATCAAGATGAACAACAAATTGCTGATTATTTTAAAAACAGAAGAGACTATGCCTGTTTCAGGAAAACTACTGCTTGTCAGGGTCAAACTAGATCAGAATAAGAAAGCCTGCTGGAAGAAGAAACTCTGGCAATACCTGTTTAACAATACTATTTATAAATAGCTGGGAGAGATGCCTTGGGATGTGTAACCCCCAGGAACAGCTACTGCTTTAGTTTGTGTGTCACTAGAAATATGAATTTTCAATGGTGAGGCCAATCTTGGGGACCAAACTGAAAAACCCAGTGGCTGGCACTTCCCTTGTGCATTCTACTTTGTGGGGATCTTAAGGATAGGAAATTGTGCAGCCCAGCATTCCACAGAATACAAGCCTATCAGTGTGACCAAAGAAAGGCTGGACACAGACTGTGCTGAGGGAAGTAAATATGGAATTTCTACATTTCCCTCCAAAGCAGTTCTAGCACTGCTGTGAGCAGAGCCTGCGGGAGCAGCGTTCGGAGACACGGCTGAAGGGTTTGGCTTGGTGGACAGAACCTGACAGAGAGAGACATTGCAAAGCAGAATACTGAGCACCATGTTAACTAACAGAGCTGCTGCCACCTCTGAAAGCCTCTGTCTTGCTGAAGGGCCTGCGGGCTCTTTAAATTTCCAATTTATTCCAGTCCATTCCTATCCTTTAGGCTGTTATAATGAAGTAGCTAGTAAGTCAGGCATAATTTCTGGCAGGCTTTTGAATTTAAGAAACTGCACAAGAGCATCCAGAGGACTATATTTATCATTTAATTCCTTTAAATAAAGCAAAAGTGAATACTGCTTCTTCATTAGAAGAACTTTAGTTCAGTACTTTAATGCAAAAGGTTTGTTGAGATTGATGGAATTCATAAACACCCTTTATTTACTACAGCAAAGTTAATAATTAAGAAGAAGAGAGAATATACATGAATGCATGAATGCTGTTGTAAAAATAATTCCTGCCTTAGTTCCAAGGAAAAAGCCCATGTAAATTAGTGATTGAGAATATAAGGGTGTTCCACTAGAACTATAAAGGGGAGTTTTTTCCATTCTTGATAAGGTAATTGTGGTGGTGAGGCACTGGCAAGTGCAAATTACCCAGACTGCAGCTGGGTGTGTTCTGTCTCGGGTGGGTGTCCCTTTTACCGTTCCCGGTGCACCGACAGCACCCGCAGCACCTGCCCCGTACCCAGCGGGAGCTCTCCTTCCTGCCACTGCCACGGCACCTGCCCCGTACCCAGCGGGAGCTCTCCTTCCTGCCACTGCCACGGCACCTGCCCCGTACCCAGCGGGAGCTCTCCTTCCTGCCACTGCCACGGCCGCCAGCAGCGCTCAGGCCCTTGTTGAAACTGGAGTGTGAAGCTCGTGGACTGGCAGTGCTGGGAGGGTTGGGCCTGACATGTCTGAGGAGGGCTGTGGAAAATTGCCTCTTGCCTGCAGTGATTCCCCTGAAAGAGAGTCCAGTTGGTGTAAGTATGGTTAGTTGCTCTATGGCTGCTGGGCAGGGGGGGTGCAAGTGCTGTGCAGGAGCTCCTCAGCGTGAGTGCCACGAAGGCCAGAACTGCTGTCCTGCAAGGAATGGACACCTGCAAGGCTGTGCCTTCCCACAGCTGTCCTCCCATCCTGCTGCAGCTGCTGCAGCCGCTCCTTGGTTTTTCGATGAGTCTTTGCCTATGGCTCTCTGTCCCTCTGCTGCCAGAGCTGCCTTGCTCTGCCCTGCCTTCCTCCCACTATCCCTGCCCTGCCTGCTGCCTGCCCCACCTTCCACCGTTGCTTCTCCTGCATCTTTCTCTCCTGATGTAGGGAGAGCATTTCCCATCCTGCTGCTGGCTGGTGGGGATGCGTCCGTGCCTGCCAAACAGCCCTATTGTTAGTTAAAGATGCTGACTCTGGGAGTCCCATCCTCATCAGGCAAAGCTGAGAGTCTGTCTGATTTAACAAGGCAGGGAAACAAGCCAGTCAGTTATCTGAATCTGAAGCATATTCTAGAAGTGATTAGCTGCCTAAACTTACTCTGTAATTATCTCTGCTGAGTGGTTTCTGCACATCATTGCCCATTTTTCTGACTGTTTTTATTTAAGTTGATAATGGAAAATGAATAAAGCCTTAGTTCCACTCTGATTTTGACACTTGTGCCAGAAAATATCTGAAGATGAATATTTCTGTGTTCACAATAGTTAGATTAATATTTAATTTTTTGGCATCCACCAAGCTGATTAGTTTTCCTCTGATATGGCTCCACTTTGTAATTACAGGAACCGGCTCCTCCTGGGGAGGAGAGTGCCTGGGGTAAGAAGCTCGGAGATCATCCTGACATCACTGCAACCATGATTTCACCAGGCTCGTGCACTGTGAGGTTATTGCGATCTGAAATCTCTGCTGCTGGAAAGAGGTACAGGTATATGTGACCTGCTCCATATCTTCTGAGGACAGACAAGATCTGCCCTTGATTGCGTTTATACTGAAGGGAATAGAGTGGAAACAAAGTGCAGCTGTGTTGTCTCAAGGAAAGTGTGATCCTTGCCTGCCATAGCAGGCCAAGCCTTCCTTAAGGGACACAGCCCACCTGGTGCTGCAAGTGTAGAGGACATACCACAGCACTGTAGGGGGACAGACAGAGCTAACTGAGACACAGGGACCCCCCTGGCCAGGGATCCTCTGCTGAGTCTGGGGAGTACCACTGGTGGGGGCTGGTGGTGACAAGCCATGGAAGGAGTTCCAGCACCACCGTGGAAGCAATCCGAGAGAAAGCTTGGTGAGGCATGGGGGGCCGGCTGACTTGGGGCCTCTCTTTGTCCTCAGCCATTAGCAGGTGTTTGTAAGAAGCCTGTAGAAGACAGGGTGAGGATTACTTGAGATCATGATTGCAGTCCTTCTGGAGCAGTGGTCGTATCTGTCCACTGCACTGAACTAGCAGGTGGGGGTTGTGCTCAAGGAGTGACTCTGGAGCCTATTGAAACCCCTGAGTACATCTGGACTCCACAGCATTCCAGGTAAAGAGCCACATGCGATTCAGGGGTCACCTTCTTCTGTCAGCCTGATAGCAGATAATTTCCCTGGCACCTCATGATTCCTATGCTATGAAAACGAGCTAGTGCACATTTGGTGTGTGCTGTGGATGCCTCTGGCTGGGGACAGTCCCACTTTCCTCACTGTGTTGTTAGGCGAGTTGTCCACCCGTGTTTGGCTGGACCCTCTGGGGGTGGGCAGGGGGAGTCAGCCTACACTTGGGGATGCAGAGGCAACAGGCAAACTCACATCCTTTGTTTCTAGGACCACCCAATGCTTCCTTCACAAATGGGACTACCGCCTGTGGCTCAGTCCTCCCACAGATTGAGCCTTCCCTATCTGCTCAGAGAGCAACTATGGCTCAGAATCAAATGCAGCCTTTAGAATTAACCCATCTGTAAAGGCCAGTGAGTCTAGATTCCCCTGACCAGCCATGCACTGCAACATCTCATCTCAGTGCCATATTTGTCTTGCACTGTCAGTTTTACCTAGCTCCTAAGCACTCAGGAACAGCAGTACTGTCAGGGTGTTGTTATTCATTTGTTTTCACCCACTTGAAGTATGTATCATTGTCATAATCTGGCACTTTGCACTGGGAACAAACTCCCTGTGTGGACAGGGATCAGGGCCATTTTTCAAATGCTGCTGACTGTTAATTTGTACACTGTTTGAAGGGAAAAGATCTTGTTAGAGCTCCATTGTACACATTACTTCATCAGGGCATAGGAGGCAGTTGTCTCCAATAGCCAGGTGCCAGGTGCCAGGTGCCAGGGTGCTGGTGACAGGGGTGCAGTGCGTAACCTCCATGGGCAGCATGTGCCCAGCTCTGCGTGCACAGTTCTCATTTGTGCACCCGAAGCTGATCAGGTGAACCTCATCTAAATCCATTTGTTCAGCAAATATAGTATAATAGCTGCTGGCTGCTCAGCCTCCATCCCATATCACCATCCTCCAGAACTGTGCTAAAACCTGATCATTGGGAAGTTCAGGTGTTTTGTTTAGCTGCAGTACGCTCCCAGCTGGGTGAGAAAAGGGATGGCAGATACTGCAGAGCTCACAGTTCAAACACCAGCTCCCACAAGCTGTGTGTCCTGTCTGCTTCCAGACCAAAGAAGCAAGTGGAACGGCTGCTGGTGCTGGGCTGTCCCGAGCTGTGGTGGTCCCTGGACTTCCTTCACAAAAGGCAGGAAAATAAAAAAGGAAAATTAATCTACCAAGGGCAAACAAATCAAACCAGCAACGGCTGCTACAGCTCATGGCCTGCTTAAACACTAGAACATTTGTTGCAACCATTTAGTGACCCGTGCTCTTCTCAGATTCATCTTATGAAATGGAAAAAGCAATTTGTCTGCCCACGTGCCCTGAAGTACTGATATTTGTTAAATCCACTGCTTTGAAAGCCCTATATTTGAACTACTGGATATGCAGAGAAGAAAGCAAATAAAGCTGGCTGTGATATGTGCATTTTGTCTGGGTAATATTCCGATAAGGCCTGATTTATTACCTTTATGTCTTAAGGCCAGGCAAATCTCATGGGGTCAGTCATAAAGTATGAGGCAGGAGAAGGAGAGCTTGAGAAAGTAGAGGCAGAGATCCTCTTTGCCTCTGGAGGTCTCTGAGTGTGTCCTTTCCAGGGTTTCTAGTTCAGGCTGTGCTTTCTGGTTCACCATCTGTCTGGTACTTCAGCTGCCTCTCTGTCCTGGTGCCAGGCTCCTGCACACTGCCCTCAGCATGGCTGCAGGGAGCCCTGCTGCCTTGGCTCTGGGGTGTCAGCGTGGTGCCCACACCTGCCTGGGGTGCCCACAACACTCACCCTTGTGCTGTGTTCTCCTTTGCAGAATCTGATCTTCCTCATCTGAAAAATGATGAAAGTGCAAGCTGAAACCAAGTTATAAATGACAGGAGCAATGCAAGTATCACCAGTGAACTGGGATTAATAATAAAAGAAGACAAACACAAGGCACACAGAGAGTATTTAAAACCACGATACCTTGGGATATTTCTAAATGAAAAAAAAAGATTTCACACTGAAATTGCAAAATTACACATATCAGTTTGTTAATTCTGCCCAAACTAGCAGTACCTAAAGAACTGTAACATTATCTGCTAACTTCAGGGAGTCTTGGCAGGTGAGCAGAGCAGCAGAGCTGTGGTATCCTCGCTCAGCGTGGTGGGCTCTGTGGGATGGCAGGTCGGGAGGGGGCCCTGCACCTCTGCCCAGTGCCCTGCGCTGGGCCCACTGTGCTGGGCAGGCACAGGAGCTGCCAGCACTGTGCGGGTCAGCAGCTGTCCTGTCACGTTACTCCTTCGTGTTCTGAAGTAGGGGAAGAAACTGAAGCACATGAGGATCAGAATCTCTGTGGTGTCCAGCACCTTTCATGGGGAACTTGGAGTGAGATCACAGAAATCTTCCAGAAGATTGTTTCATTTTTAACAATCTAGGATTATAGTTTGTCTGTTTAATTCAACCTGAGTGACATAATAGCTTTCATTTGGACTTATTACCAGCAGAGCAGTCAGTCAGCTGGAAGCAGACCTAGGGCAGGGCATTTTGTCATTATTTTAAATTTTCTCTATCTGACAAAATTGAAGGTCTTGAAAAGACTGGAGCCATTGTAAAGGATAGAACATCAGAGAATAGGTCACACAGTGTGTTAAAGAATGAAAATTGATTCATTCTTTCCTCTGTTGAATAAGCAACTGTACTTTGGTCCCTGTGATCCATGAAATAAGCTGTCAGAGAAACAGGAAATGTGCCACATTTGAACTTCACTCATTGATTCCGTTCTGATCCGAGGTGCAATATTAAAATGCATTACGGTGGGTGCAGAATATGCAGCAGTGACAGCAGCTAGGCCCAGCTTGCTCACCAGTTATCTGGACTATTTGTAATTAAATTAATCAGTGCTTTACAATGTTGGGACTCATTTACTTAGGTCATGTGGTCAGAGCCAGCTGACAGGAGGAATTTCACAAAAGCAACATTTGTTAGACTGTAGAAGAGGCTCATGGTTTTATCATTTTATTCCCTTTAATATGGAGAAACAATTTGCAGGCAGTTCAGAAATTCTGACAGCAATCAATTTAAGAATGGGAGAATGGGTAGCAGAAAATTCTGGAATTTGGAATTACTAGCTGGAGCATGTTAGGCCAGTTAATGCCTGCAACTCTAATAGATAGCCTAGTGTTTAAGTAGCATCCAGAGGACTGTCTGCAACTACAATTTGCTATGTTAAGTCTGTTTTATTCATGCTGAAGTGTCTTTTGCTTCTTTGGTGAGTTCTTAAAAGTTTTATTAACTAAAACATCATTTTTGCTGCCTTTGCTTTATTTGCCTCAAAATTGTGATTCATAAAGATGGATTTTTATAATTAAGGTAGAAATGAGAAATAACCCCCTATATATAATTTTAAAATGTTGAAATTACAGACACTATCTAACTTCTGCTTTAAATCACAAGAACAAACTGTTCTCCATTAGCAGCCCTAATTAAATCCATTTTTCTGTGAGTCTTTGGCAAATTCCATTTTAGTAAAGCTGTATTAAACTCTCTTTTATTTCCTCTTGCTTTGCAGAATTCTCTGTTTGAGATGAATAATGGGTTGAACATGGTATATGACAGCTCTGTAGACTCCAAAGATATAACATGAACAAATATATTGTTCTGGAGAGCTGGCATGAGAACGCTGCTGAGGATTTAGAAGCATTCCAACTACCAGACAGGCAGGAGCAGGACCATCCTGGCCTGGGGAGTTTATATGTGATGCAAGAATGGGCAAACATTGTGTAGCACAGAGGCTGTGGAAAGGTGGAGGAGGCTTGGAGAAGGGAAGGAGAGGGAGTGGGCTAAAGCAGAGAGCGTGCTCTTTGCCGTTTCCACAGCACATTGGGGTGTTGCACTCCTGAGCTCTGAGGTACCATCATCTGTGCCCTGCTGGTGTTTCCTAGGCCTTGGGTGAGGAATGAGCAGTTGCAGAGGAGTGGAGAGAACTTCCAGAGGTTAGTCAGCGCTGCTTTTCCTCAGTCCATGCCATCATATGGAGATGTGCTTTCCATAATACTGTGCATGTGGCCTGTAGCATCTGTCTGGGTCATTGTGTTGAACGTGTCTAGCAGGAGCCATGCTCTTGCTGACCTCAGACCTGTTTCTGGACGTAGATCAGAACCTGGCCTGGGTCAGTGCTCCTGTGCACCAACAGCTTTGTTAGGGTGATTCTGCCTGGAGACTTGACTGAGGAAGCAGTGCACGGACTAGAGAACCCACCTGAAACAGCCGCTCATTTTGCAGTCCCCGTGCATGAAGATTAACGTACTCCCAAAAACCTGCCCCAGTCCCAGAGCAACGGGCTCTGTCCTGTCCTCCGGCACCTCCATCACTCATTT